ACAGTCTCCGATCACACAGTCTCCGATCACACAGTCTCCGACAATCGGGAAACATTTCAGTAGCATCCAAAATGTTCGGATTCTTCGTTATATTTTTATTCAGATATTCGGAATGAAACGAATGGCAGACGTCTGATGGGAAATACGGAAATTGTTGCCGATCAATAAATATCTGCAATAGATAAAAAACCTCCAAATCCCCCGACACTGCAAATCAATCTCCGATCACACAGTCTCCGATCACACAATCTCCGATCACAGTCTCCGATCACACAGTCTCCGATCACACAGTCTCCGATCACACAGTCTCCGATCACACAGTCTCCGATCACACAGTCTCCGATCACACAGTCTCCGATCACACAGTCTCCGATCACACAATCTCCGATCACACAATCTCCGATCACACAATCTCCGATCACTCAATCTCCGATCACTCAATCTCCGATCACACAATCTCCGCTCAATCTCCGATCACACAATCTCCGATCACACAATCTCCGATCAATCTCCGATCACACAATCTCCGATCAATCTCCGATCACACAATCTCCGATCACACAATCTCCGATCACACAATCTCCGATCAATCTCCGATCACACAATCTCCGATATTATTATTTCTGGTATGAGGAAGAAGTCAGATGCGGAAACGTCGTCCAGGAAGAGATGTGACTCTAATGGGAGATTTTATTGGACGAGTCGTCTCGCCTTCAGCATCTCATTGCGATCTTCTGATGTATTTTCTCTCTTCAGGTTCCTGGTGATCCAGAAATAGAACAATATGAGGCGGTTGTCACCATGGTCAGGTGTATATTGCTGCGGGGGGGGGAGGGGTAGAGGGGGTCAGAAGTAAATGGCTGGGGGAAATTCTGAGACCTTTGAGGACAGACAACAAAGAATAAGAGCCAAGTCAATATTTGTGACATTCCGGTGAGTCAGACTTCTGTCATTAACACGTTATGTTCTCTGCAAAAATTCCCAACAAATATTCAGCAATTGTTTCCTGAATGTAAACTAACAATGTCACCGCCCCCTTCCTGTGACCCAATGATGATGTCATCACATGTGTGTGTCTGTGGAGAAATAAATAGAGGAAGCCACCATCAGCTGAGACACCAACTCACAGAATTCATCCCAAGAGACAAACCTGAGACAACTCTCAACATGTTCTCCGGAGCCCTCCAGGTGAGTTGTTGGTCTACGTCCAATGTATGGCGGAGCCATGGACCGAAATCATCATCATCATTATTATTATTATCATTATATATCACACACACAGAGTTGTGTATTTGTATCATTGGACGTCTTCTCTTCAGGTGAGTTGTTGGAGGACGTCCAATGTATGGAGGGACAATGGACCATTATTATTATTATATGTCACACACACAGACTTGTGTCTCTCTATCATTGGACGTCTTCTCTTCAGGTCAATCACATGAAACATTTTTTGCAGAAAATGAAACAGAATTTTATGTTAAGAGTTGAAATGAAGTTTTTTCCTCTAGAAGAGGATGTCCTGACATGTTTCAGGCTGGAGGTGAATGAGGGTCCTTACCTCCATAGAACTTTATAGAAAGTGGAATACAAATATCAGATAAATACTTCAGGTTTCTATATACAATGTAGCGATGTAACAAGACGAGCCAAATTCACCGATTTCACTTTGCTGATATTTTACCAAAATTTCCATTATTTCAGTAACAATTCTGCCAATTAGATAAAGTGGATTCCAGTCAGCGGGGAAGTGGGAATGAACAATGCTTAAGGCTTGCAATTGGGCTTTGTGGTTTTGGGGGTTTTGAGGCATTTTTGTAGGAGAGAAAGAACATAAAGTAACTTGAAATATTGGAAGAGACATGTTTGGTGTGTCGTGTCCCCTCCTCGTATTTGGGGTTTATGCTTTTGTTTTGTGATTTTACTTTAATTCCAATAATATGGAGAAGAAATAATAGAAATAATGACATTTGTAAAACATAAAATCGAGGCAACTGGACTTGCTGAATTCTTGAAGACGTTCCGCTGCTCATCCGACCAGCTTCCTCGATTCAGAATGTCGGATGACAAGCGGAACGTCTTCAAGAATTCAGCAAGTCCAGTTGCCTCGATTTTATGTTTTACAAAGATCCCATGACCCGGAAGAGTGATCCTTCGCTGACATTCCGGCTCCAACTTTATTTCATTATTATTCCTTTACAAATGTCTAAACTCCCCCCCCCATGTAATAATATAAATAGAATAACGGGAAATGGGAAGAAGGAGAAGATTACGGAGGAAACTAAGATACAAATGAACTTCAAAGACAAGAAATAAATAAGAAACTCACAAAAAAAGCCAAACGAGAAGTTCTATAGATGACGGAGGAAATAAATAGACAAGAAAGAGGAGATTCAAATATCGAAATACAATGTATCTAAATCGCTCCCTATGTCACACGTATGACACATTGTAGTCTTTCCTATTTCATATACAAATATCATTATTGTTATGGAATATAACGGGAAATATGGCCTGGGTGAATGTCATGATGAGCACAATATCTGTATAACAGGAAATGAAAAAATTAAACACATAAAAAAAAAACACAACAAAATGCACCAAAATAAAAGCAAAAAACAGAAAGAAAAGGAGGCGGAGTTTTATAAAAACTTTTGTTTTTTTCATGTTATTTTTTCTCCTCACATCTCATCCGGCAGTTTCCGCGTGACAGAAATTACACATCAATTTTGGTAAAATTTTGGTGAATGCGGAATTGTGTCTGAAATCCGCTCTGTGACATTTGTTACTCATCGCCAGTCACTGGGAACAAGTTTAATGGTCGGAGGTCCCAATAATGATTCATATGTATTATTATTTACAGAATTGTGTTTCACCGAGGGTGAATAATAACATGAAAATGTAACTTTTACATACAAGAATTGTGCGGTTTTCCCAGCTCTGGAATGATGAATTATTGTCAGATATTTATTTCCGGAATGTCATTTTTTACATATATTGGGCGATGAGCGCAGCCGGAGCCACAGGGGGAGGGGTGAGGTTGTAGTGACCTCTGGTGGACGCATTGTGCGCTACAACAATGACCCAAATCTTCCACCATCAGATCAGAGATTCACCCTAATTCTCACCCGTAGACAGTAAATTCCGTCATTTGTTGATGGAAGATTCACTCACACGTCTGTTTGTTGATGGAAGATTCACTCACACGTCTGTTTGTTGATGGAAGATTCACTCACGTGTCTGTTTGTTGATGGGAGATTCACTCACGTGTCTGTTTGTTGATGGAAGATTCACTCACATGTCTGTTTGTTGATGGAAGATTCACTCACACGTCTGTTTTTTATTATTATTCCAGAAAACGAAGAATCTTCAGCGCCTCTCCAGACACATCCACAAGTCGGCCGCCAAAGGTAACGCTGAAATAATGAAACGTGTTTCATGTCCGGACTCATTGTATAGTTATTCCGGGGCGGAAGCTGCCGTCCAATCAGATCTGATCTATCGGAGACGCTGATTGGCGACTTGGGCGGCAGACTTCGCTTTGCCTGTAATATAACGGCGACCACTAACAATGACCTTCCATCTCCTTCAGTGGTCGATGGGAACCAGCTGGAAGAGACGGTCACCAACAGCTTTGCGTCTTTTATCCACGGCATCCGCCCCGTGCACCTCTCTGACATCGTGCGCTACAGAAGTAAGCGGATGATCCTGGACAGCATCGGCGTGGGGGTGATGGGAAGCACAACGCACGTCTTCAACATCGTCTTGAAGTATTGTCAGGTAGGTGCCGATGTAGAGCAATGGCGGGCAGCTCCAGGTAGAGCAATGGCGGGCGGCTCCGGTAGAGCAATGTTGGGCGGCTCGGGTAGAGCAATGTTGGGCGGCTCCGGTAGAGCAATGGCGGGCGGCTCCGGTAGAGCAATGGCGGGCGGCTCCGGTAGAGCAGTGGGGGGCGGCTCCGGTAGAGCAATGTTGGGCGGCTCGGGTAGAGCAATGTT